CGTACATATGCCTAGCCTTGTTCTCCTAAGAACTCTTATAGGGAAGGATGTGTAGAAAATGATTCAATATTGGAGTACTGAATGTTTTCATCTGTCTATCTTAAAGGGGCAACCTAGACATGATCTTAATACTAATCTTTACACTATAAGTTGTCTTTTAAGGAGACATAATATCCAGTTTTGGTCCCCATACTATAAAAAAAGGATGTTGAGACTCCAGAAAGAGTGCAAAGAGCAACCAGGATGATTAGAGGACTGGAGGCTAAACCACATGGTGAACGATTGCAGGAACTGTTCTTGGCTAGTTTAGTGAAGAGAAGGACCAGGGGAGGCATGATAGCAGTGTTCCAATATTTGAGGGGTTGTCACAGAGAGGAAGGAGTCAACCTAATTTTCCAAAGCACCTGAAGGCCAGACAAGGAATAATGGATGGAAACTGATCAAGGGGAGATTCAACCTAGAAATAAAGATAAATTTTCTGACAGTGAGAACAATCAACCAATGGAACAGCTTGCCTTCAGAGGTTGGGAGTGCTCCATCACTGGAAGTTTTCAAGAAGAAACTGGACAGTCGTCTGTCAGAAATGCTGTAGGATCTCCTGCTTGAGAAGGGTTGGACTAGATCAGAGGTGGTATTCAGCAGGTACTGACCATTTCCGGAGAACTGGTAAATACCATCTCTGACTGGCCCTGCCTCCATCTTGCTCTGGAGTGGGGGGAATGAAGATTTTACAGTATTCTTCCCCTGCCATACCCACCAAGCCACACCCACAGAACTGGTAGTAAAAGAAATGTAATCCCACCACTGGACTAGATGGCCTATAAGGTCTCTCCCAAATCTATTCTATTCTATTTTAAGGAGTCTGATTTAATAACAAGCAAACAGTTATGTTTTTGTCATGGCTGCTCATGGTAACAGGCATATTTATAATATAATGCAGAACCCAATTATCCTTTTGGCTTTTTCACAGAGACTCATGGCAATATCACAATACAGCTGTCATTTACATCCTAGTCAGTTCATTAAAATGTGTCATCACATTTCCTGTCAGAAACTGTCATCAAGAACGGTGCAAGGGCCATTTCCCCCTGTCACTGCAAATATTAAGATAGCATAGTCATTTTTGTATTATAAAAGTTTTTTAAAAGTTTTTTATTTTTCATACAACTTTACACATATTATAGAAACAAAGTGTTGACTGGATCCTCCCTTTTACATCCTCTCATTTACACAATCCATGTTACATCATAGCTTGGTTTTCACTTTCAGCCAAATTATTTTCTTCCATTATTTCCCATTTTTTTAAAGTCATATTTTTTTAGTACCTAAACAATATCTTCAATTGCCCCTTCAAAAATTGCACAAAATTATTATTTCATATTTCTCTATTGGTCTATTTTGCTATAAACAATATAGATCGTCTAGTTATGTTTTGATATAGAGAACATTTTTCAATTTTTTCTACAATTAGCAATGTACTACTATACTTTTTCTTAATTAGTTGCATAACAATACGAATCATACTACTATTCCCTTTAATCTACCTATACAACTCCTTTTCCCCTTCTTCCTCTTTTATCCATTTTCTCTTGGGCTCTAACGAATTCCACTTTTAATCATTTTTCTTCTTCTCCCCCTTTCTCCTAACTTCTTTTTCTTTTTCCTGTTTTATGGTTTTAGTATCTTTTCTTCAGATTATTCAATTTTATTATTCTGGTACCTTTCTCCAGGGTTTTCCCTGTTCTCCTCCCTTTCTTAGTATCTTGTGGTTTCTTTTTGCGGGGGGATCTCCCCCTTTGTCTGCTGGCTCATATTCTACTAGGGTTCCAAGAATACAACTTGCAGTTACTACTAATGGGCCAATTCTATACCTCTACATTTGTTTTGTTTTTCTTCCCTAAATGTAGAACCTTACTTTTTTCACCATTGAGTGTCATTTTGCTAGATAAGGCCTAGTGCTCAGGTCTATCAAGGTCCTTATGGAGTGTTGGCTATTCCTGCCAGTTTGGTGTCGTCTGCAAATCTGATGAATTCCCTTTCTGTCCCCTCATCTAAATCATCAAAAGAAAAATGAAACTACTGGACCTAAGTGTAAGAAAGTTTGAGCATAAGGTTTGTTTAGAAAATATCACTGGGATGAATTCAACCAACATCTGAATATCTACCATATCCAAAAATTAAATGAAATTACTTTATAGTGATCTAAATTAACCCTCTCCCATTTAGAAACAATCAGTGGAACAGGGAGGAAGAATGATGACAGCAGCTTCTTACTGATATAAATCAAGTGAAGAATTAAGTCTGACAAATACTTTAATATCAGATATCTTTGAGCAATCTAATATGATTGGTATATTACTCTGCAGTAGTACTTTTTAGCTCTTTAGAATAACCCTTAGTAAGATGTCTCCTGCATTCTGTTATTTTTTTAAGAATGCGCATCAACAAATTTCACTGCACTGTTTTTTTGTCCTCTTTTTAGATACGTGGATTAATTCATGCATCCCGGAAGAAAGCACAGTTTCATTACCAGAAAGTTCCACCGAGATGAACTCCACTTTTACAGCCTCGTTTCAGGATACCTCCGCAGTGGTTGACACAACTCAGTTACAACAAACCCAAAAGCCCCCAAAGTATCGCGTCATATGTGTAACAGAAACTTTGTCTCCCGATTCCGAACCTACTCCCGAGAAGGAAAATTTGATTTTCACTGATAAACGAACTGCCTTTAAAAATGAAGGTGTCCCATTTGGAGGTAATAGCCATACGGGGTGCTTTGAGTTTCATGGTTTTATGTTAGAGAGAGGACAAAAGAACAGCTCAGGTTTACAATTTTGGTGGCTTAGTGGGGAACTTAAAAAGTGTGCTTTATAAAGTGGTAAGATGAATCAAACATTATAACCAGAAATGTAGTCTTTTCCTTTTGACTTGTTTTAAGCCACCAATTCTACAATCCAAATAAGGCAATGGAGAGCTGCTCTAACGTAGTGGCTAGAGAGTTGCTACTCCAAATCTTAAATCTGGATGCACTAGGTTGCTGCTTTCCCTCAGGCTTCAACATTTCTCTTCCCTACCTTCCAGTTACCTGACTTACAAGATACATATTTGGTAGGAATTATATGTAGACAATGTACATGAAGAGCTTTAAATATACCAAAGTAGTACAAGAAAATGTTATTAGTTAGATTTTATTCATCCTCTCAACTAGAAAACTCTTTATAATTCAACTAGGTCTACATAAAAAAGGTCTAAAATCTAAGATAATTTTTTTGTTTGGGCCATGTTATTACTGCCACTTCTATCACTCCTACTACTTACTATTAATACTAAACTGGTAGCTCATATGGGTTAAGTGACTCCTTAGCAGGGACGTGCAGGCAGGGGAGGCAGAGCCTCACCACTGTCATCATGAAAAGAAAAAAATATATAAAAGGAAAAAGGCAAGAGCTG